GGTGTGTAGCAGCTTCAGGCTGGGGACCCCAGAGTGAGCGTCCCTGCCAGCTCGGGGAGGTGACCTCCCAGTCAGCACAGGCCCCAGCTCCCGCCTCCCCGGGGGCAGCGGCTCCAGTCTGACCGTCACCCGATGCTGAGGCGCTGAGGCGAGGGGACAGGGGACGGAGGCAGCCCCACTGTGTACCTGGCTCGCTGAGGGCAAAGCAGCCAATCTTGTCGCCGCTGGTGAAAGGCGTGACCCACTTCTGCTTCTGCTCCTTGGACCCAAACTTCATGATGGGCCCCAAGTAGAGGGACTGTGGGGGCAGAGGGAGCGGTCGGAGGCCTCGAGCCCAGGCCCCTGCCCACCCGGGACCCACCGCAAGGCCTGTTCTCTCCAGACCCGAAGGACCAAGGAGCCGGACACGTGGCGAGTGCCTGCCCAGGGGAACCCCCGCCACCCGGGTCCCCGCGGTCCAGGACGGGGACTCACGTTGTTGACACTCATGATGACGCCGGTGGAGGCACAGCCCCGGCTGATCTCCTCCATGGCGATAGCATAGGCCAGGTAGTCGAGGCCGGCGCCACCCAGCTCCTCCGGCACGTCCATGGCCAGGAGCCCGAGCCCGCCCATCTTCTTCACCTGGTCTCAGGGAAGGAGTCACCCTCAGCACACCTCCCTCAAGCCGCCCTGGCCCACACTCCGCACGGCTCCCCTCTGCAGCCACAACCACTGAGCAGGCAGAAGGCACAGAGGCTCCAAGGTGAGAAGCATGGCAGCAAAGTACCACAGTGATCTTCTCTCAGTCCCTTAAGCATACCACACACACCCCTCCCCACCACAGGACCTTTGCACATGCTGCTCCCGGTCAGACATGACCTTTATCCACTAGGTATTATCTCCTCCTCCCCTTTGGTTCTCAGCTCAAGCCACCACTTCTTGGGGCTGTCACCCCAGTCTCGCCACACCTGTGCCTCTCCCCTGAGTGCTTATGCAGCGGGAATGTCACCTGCTGCTGTGCTCGTTTTGATTAAGGTCTTTCTCCCTGACCGCGAGGCAGACAGTGTGCCTGCTCACTGCTCCATTCCCAGTGACAGCGAGAGAATGAGCGAGTGGGGAGAGCCAGGGAGTTTTCATTTGGAGTAACGGTGCTCGTGATGGTGAATTATCGAGTGCCGGCCTAGAAACGTGCCCAACTCTGCTGAGTGCTTTGTGTGCGTTCTCTCAGTGCCGTCTCTCTCCGAGAACGATGCTGAGTCAACCTCATGTCGCAGGCAAGGGAGACGGGCACGTTTTTAACCCTCTCACCAACTTGCGTTTCATCAACTGTATGTGACAACAGCACACAGGACTGTTGTGAGGACAGAGGAGCTGACACTTCCCAAGCAGGGGGAACAGAGCCCAGCACGTGGCAAGGGCGAGTTTTGAGTGTTATTAACACCATGCCTGCTACCCGGTAAGCATGGCCACCAGCCACCACTATTACTGTTATTCCAAAACTTAAATCCCGGCCACGGGCCTCATGCTGAACCCGGGGAACTTCCAGAGCATTTTCTGGGTCCCAAGACTTGCCTTCGGGTTCCTGACTAGAGTCTCCGTGTCATTGGCTGTCACCATCACCACTCACCCGGAGCCCAGCCGAGGGCACACTCCACCCTGGGCTGCTGAGGGCGGCGCCTACCTGAGCCGCTGGGAAGCGGTGTTCCTTGTCTATCTCGGCCGCGATGGGAAACAGCTCCTTCTCAGCAAAGTCCCGGCAGGTCTGACGCAGCATCTGGTGTGTCTCGGGCAGGTCCACGGACTGGTAGACAGTATGTAACTGACGGCGGAGAGCTGCCAGCAAGAGCGGGAGGCGGGAGGGGGTGCGAGAGGTCTTGGTTAATGACAACAGGGACCACTCACTCCGCGTCTCCACCAGGGATGGTGCTGCCCCCGAGGGACCTCGGAATTGTCTGCAGACACTTGGTTGTCCTAACTGAATGGGGAAATGGTATCGGTATGGAGTGGAGACCAGGGAGGCTGCTAAACATCCCACAGTGCACAGGCCAGTCCCCACCACAAAGAATTATCCGCCCAAAATGTCAAAGTGCTGCTACTGAGAACCCCCAAAATAACTGCTTATAATGCTTTTTTTTAAAGTATATTTTTATTGATTTCAGAGAGGAAGGGAGAGGGAGAGATAGAAACATCAATGATGAGAATCATTGATTGGCTGCCTCCTGCACGCCCCACTCTGGGAATTGAACTGTGACCTCAATGCTTTCTAAACACTCTGCATACACGATCCCACCCCATCCTCAGTAAAATGCCAATAATAATAATGATGATGATGATGTCCACAAGAAGAGCACAGCGCTGTGCCCTTAAAGGGTCTTAACCTCACTGAGCCCCAGCTAATACTCAGTGTGGAGGATGACAGTATTGAGTATCTGGGGAGAGGAGGATTAAGAAGATACTGCCCCGCTGGTGTGGCTCAGTGGTTGAGCACTGACCTATGAACCAGGAGGTCACGGTTTGATTCCCAGTCAGGGCACATGCCTGGGTTGCAGGCTCGATCCCCAGTGTGGGGTGTGCAGGAGGCAACAGGTTGATGATTCTCTCTCATCATTGATGTTTCTCTCTCTCCCTCTCCCTTCCTCTGTGAAATCAATAAAAACATATATGTATATGTATGTGTGTGTGTGTGTGTGTATGTGTGTGTGTGTATATATATATATATATATAGAGAGAGAGAGAGAGAGAGAGAGAGGGAGATTTAAGAAGATACTAACTGGCCCTAGCCGGTTTGGCTCAGCGGACAGTGTCGGCCCTCGGACTGAACGGTTCCAGGTTTGATTCTGGATTGGGGTGAGTGTGGGAGGCAAGCCATCCATGTGTCTCTCTCACATCGATGTTTCTCTCTGTCTTTCCCTCTCCCTTCCACTCTCTCTAAAAATCAATGGAAAAATATCCTTGGGTGAGGATTAACAAAAAATGAAAACAAAATAAAGAGATAATGTAGTTGGAAACATTTAGGGCAGCGGTTCTCAACCTGTGGGTCGCAACCCCTTTGGGGGTCGAACGACCCATTCACAGGGGTCGCCTAAGACCATCGGAAAACACATATATAATTACATATTGTTTTTGTGATTAATCACTATGCTTTAATTATGTTCAATTTGTAACAATGAAAATACATCCTGCATATCAGATATTTACATTACGATTCATAACAGTAGCAACATTACAGTTATGAAGTAGCAACGAAAATAATTTTATGGTTGGGGGTCACCACAACATGAGGAACTGTATTAGAGGGTCGCGGCATTAGGAAGGTTGAGAACCACTGATTTAGGGGGAAAAGGAAGGAACTGACTGTAGCTAAGGCCTGGCAGAGCCCTCGCGGGCATTCCCTCTATTGTTACTGGGGCGATGGGTCCGGCCGGGCCCTGGGTGTCACTGGGTGTCACTGGGTGTCACTGGGTGTCGGCGCGCCCGGCTGCACCGGAGGGGAAGGCGGGGAGGGTGCAGCCCT